ATATATATATATGTGTATATATATATATATATATATATATATATATATATATATATATATAATTTTATTTAATTAATCAATTAATTAATAAAAAAATATTTTAGTTCCTGTACCTCAACTGGTATAGCAAATGCTTGCAAATGTGTACATTTTTCTTTTTTCATACACTTTTGTTAACAGGAAGAAGAACTGCGAAAGAGCGGCGAGACAAAGTATCATCACCTTAACGAAGATCTTCACGTGCTGATCGAGGTGTTCGCGCCGCCCGCTGAAGCATATGCGAGAATGGGTCACGCTCTAGAGGAGATCAAAAAATTTCTTATTCCTGTACGTCTGTTTGTACATGCTTGTACAATCTTCTAAACACAAACTGAGCATCAACATCATCATCTTTCATGTTCTGATTGCAGCATTTATTACCTTCAGACCAAAAATACACATTCGCTGGTTTAAAAATACATTTTTGGTAACACTTTATTTTGGAGGTTAAGTCTCACTATTAATTTCACTTGTAAATTTCATGAAGAATTACAATATTACCTTCATGCCAAAATACATACAATATTAACTGTTTTTTAAAATTGGATTTATACTAGTCAAGTTTTGTCCAAGGAGTCCACAGTCCAGAGAAAAAAAAATTTGAATGGTTTAGAAAATATTTTCACATATAAATTTCTAGTGAATTTCACAAACAATTACAAAGAAACAGGGCTATTTTAGAATGAATTAAATGAATAAAAACCATAAAAACCCTGAAATAAACGTAAACTAAAATAGAATTTAATAAAAAACTTTTAATAATATAAAAAAACCCTCTTTTTATACTTTTTATATTTAAGAAAACATTTTCAGTTTTCATTTAATTAAACTTGATACTAAAATGGTACTAAAAAATAAAATATAAATTATCTGTATAGATATATATATTTTTAAAAACTATTAAAAATGACAAACACTTAAAAACACTTACTAAACGTACTTAAAACTTAAGCTGAAATTAAAATAAAAAGCAGAAAATGTAAAAATAAAAACTAATTCAAAATATTAATCAAAACTGGAATAAGTATCTCAATTATACTAAAATAAAAATGCAAAGAAATGGCAAATGACATGTAGAAGTAGTAGAAGTAGAAAAACTGAAATAGCATTTTCTTGTAAAACATAATCTTTGTTTTATTTACAACTTCAAACAATCTTTTTTTTTTTACAGAGTATGGAGGATAAAATCAAGTCCTTCTTTGTCAAATATCCTATTTTAGTTACAAATATATTACATTGGAGAAGTTAAGTGCTTTGCAGATTCATGTAATTCTCCGGATCTTCTCTATCAAACACTACGCATATGTTCACATTTGTGACCCTGGACCACAAAACTTAAGTCGCTTGGGTATATTTGTAGCAATAGCCAAAAATACATTGTATGTATCTTTTATGCCAAAAATCATTAGGATATTAAGTAAAGATCATGTTCCATGAAGATATTATATAAATATCCTACTGTAAATATATTAAAACTTAATTTTTAATTAGTAATATGCATTGCTAAGAACTTCATTTGGACAACTTTAAAGGCGATTTTCTCTATATTTAGATTTTTTTTTGCCCCCTCATATTCCAGATTTTCAAATAGTTGTATCTCAGCCAAATATTGTGCGATCTTAACAAACCATACATCAATGGAAAGCTTATTTATTCAGATTTCATATGATGTATAAATCTCAATTTCGAAAAATTGACCCTTATGACTGGTTTTGTGGTGCAGGGTCACATTTGTGCACGGTATTGACTTTATGTATATAAAATCTCACAGTCACATCTGTTATGCTAATGAAAAGCTAGATAAAATGTTACTATTTATATACAGAATGCCTCCTCTCGGGGAAAAACACATGTTGGTGCGTGTTTGGGGTTGCAGGGGCACATATTTCCCTTTGAGAAACAAGTGAACCATTATTGCGCGTTACAGCTCATTGACAGTGTGTGTGTGTGTGTGTGTGTCGTACAGGACTATAATGATGAGATCAGACAGGCGCAGCTACAGGAGCTGACGTATCTGAACGGCGGCTCAGAGGACGCCAAAGTCCCAGCGGCCAGAGGCAAGAGCAGCACGCGAAGCAGAGGAACGCCAGCGCCGGGACCGCACAGGTACGACAGCAGATCATTGTACTGTAATCACATCTAGAGCGAGAAACGGCTGGATAACATGTAAACATGACTAATGATCTCCTTAATTTGCTTCTCCTTTTCTGCCCGTTGGATTTTTTCCTGCTGTTTAATGAGAAAAGGATTTAAAACTCCACTGAGAGTTTCACGCGGTATAGCTGGCAGATTTATTCACATATGGACTGGCGCTAATGTCATTTCCTCAAACCAGTCTCATTTTTGCACAATTGGTGGCTGACTAAATAATTTTTTGCCCCACTGTAGTTGGAGAGGAAAATTCAATCAAACCGTCAAAGTTATCTTCCATTGGAGGATAGAATATAATTAACGGCATATTGTTATTTAGTAAATGATAGCCAGGAACAAGACTAGATCTGTCTGTCTGTCAGTTGAAAGATGCTTATTAAATGGCAAAGCTTTATTATCAATGTTGAAAACAGTTGTGCTGCTTAATATTATAATTTTTTTGTGATATGTCATTTTCAGTGTTATTTTATTCAGGATTTTACATTGAAACAATGTAAAATACCATCAAGTTTGTTCAGTTTAATGCATAAATAAATAAAACTGACCCAAAACTTTTGAACAGTAGTACACTATAGTAACATTTTGGACACATTTTTGTTTTACTATACGGTTCCATACCTTAGATTAATATAAAAGTTATTAAATAAAGTTAATATTAAAGTCATTTAAATAATTTAGTAATTAAAGTTAAAAACTGTGGATTTATTGCAATCACATAAGGAACAACAAATAGATAAATATGTTAAAACTTATTTTTAGCTCTGTCTTCTTACTTTTGTGAAAAAACTCAAATACACACAAACAATACAAAGAAACGGCAAGGAATTCATTGAATTGCATTGAAATTGTGAGGTAGAAAAACTGAAATAGTAATCCTCTATTTACAACTTGGAAAAAAATAATTTTTTAGTGTAGGCACAATTTATATTTGTCTACAAAAGTCTTAAGTATATTTTGGTAAAAAGGTGTAACATCACTAATTTAGTTCCTTTATGTCCAAACATTTCTCTTGCAGTGTATATGTATTTATTCACACCATTTTTACACTATTGTGTTTTAATTTTTTTAAATGAAGAATTCTTGCTCCACTTATAATGTTTAGTTAATTATATGTATGTAATTCATTTTGTAATTTTATGTAATATGTGTCCTCCAGGTGTAGAGGGGGTGTTCCTCCTCCTCAGGCGGCAGTCCCGCGGGGGGTGGCGCCCAGAGGAGCTCCGCCCAGCAGGGTTCCATCCAGCAGAGTAAGGGGCGTTCCCTCACAGAGAGCACGAGGAGCTCCGCCCCCACCCGGGTACAGACCTCCCCCTCCGGTGGTGCAGGATACCTACGGTGAATATGTAAGTAACTGTCACTTGCTTTGCTGTAGACGTCACTCTGTTTAGGGACTATATCAAAGGATATTTATAGCATTCAAGGACAGAATTAATGAAGATCAAGTTATAGTATTCAGCAAATGGTGGCAGGATGATATCCTATTTCTACTGGATTTTTGAAATATGCATTCAAGTATGTTTTTTAAAGCTAATATTGTTCACAACAGCTTTTGCTATGCTAGTTGGTTTTGCAAAAGTTAATTAATTGTGCTGTACCATCACCAGTGTAGATCTACGCACTTAGAGATTCAACCATAGTCTTTGCTAGTGTTATTGTAGTATTATTTATATACCATTATAGTATTTAATAATATACTTAATTAGCCTTTATTCATAGTAATAAGCTAGAATGTGTTTGAACTCAGATTGCAGGATGCCCGTGGGGGCTGGTTCTAATCTTCTTTGACGGCGAAGAACCATTTGGCAATTTAAAACCCCTATACAACGTAACATCTCTGACCAGAACTGTAATTTATATGCAAATGTCAAAAGGCTAAAAGGGTCTTTTAAGCCATAAACAGTCCAACGCACATGCATGATCCTACGCAGACGCTACATTTCATTAATAGTAATTTTGATATGTGGCTTTCATATGCATTCACACATTTATTTATTTATTTATTTATTTTAATTTTAGTTCTTTAACATTTATATTTGGCTTATTTTTTTTATTTCAGTTCAATTTTAGTAATTTAGTAATAATACTTAAAAATGTCAAATGATGCCTTGGCAATTAACTGAAATAAAATAAGTTTGTTTTTCATCCAAATGTTCTTCATAATTTTTTTTTTCATTGTAAGTTCATTAAGGGCCAGTTTAACTAAACAGGGCAAATTAGCGCGAGAGCGCAATTCCAAAGCAGCACTGATGGGAGGGGAAATTTATGTGGGTGATTTACTTACAATGCGTAAATTAAAACTCAATATACCAAGTGCAGCACACATAAGCATAGTCGCAAATAAAGAATAAGGAAATAAAGAAGCCATAGTACATTGAAAAGTAATGGAGGCCAAAAAATAAAGGTTTGCTAGAAGTTTTGGTAGACCTGGTAATGCGAGACTCGTAGTTGAGGGTTCCAAGTCGTCTTTCATTTTCTGAAGCAAATTAAAAATAACATGGCTTGGCAAACGATATGTTCGGATAATGTGTTCTTCTGGCATTCCAAATAAATGAATAGGCTACATGTGGAAAAAATCCTCTCCCTTCTACCACACACTCTCTGTTCTCTGCAGTGCCTCCTCCGAGCAACAATAATTGCAGCAATTTCAAGCGCAAAATAGTTTAAAGCCTCGTGCACACTGGGCTGATTATTGCACGCGCTTATCGCCAGTGTTTTTCGAGATGTTTTTCGACGCGTCTTTGTGTTCATACCCAAGCGATTTTTGCAGGCGATGAGCCGAGTGAACGTGCAAATTCACTCCCTGACATTAGATGGCGCTTAATGAAAGCAAATCCTATTTGATCTGCAATTCCTCTCCATAACAACGCTCTCTTATCGAGATTTTTGTAGTCGCTGTCGCGTTTGTCATAAAGCTCTTTGTGTTCAGACACCAATGAGACCAGCAGCTCTACATTCATCTTGCCTCGATGCCTCTTCTTCGTCTACTTACTTCCTCTTCGTCGTTAGGTATCAATGTGTGCTCATTTTGTGCTTGAGCGCCACTGTAACTTGTGTTTTACTGTAACTTCAGCAGATCCAGGCACGTGAACAAAAGCGCCAATCTCATTGGTCAGGCAGTTTTTTACGTGGCGCGTCAAACCAAAAAAACGAGGCGAGGCGTTTTTTTTTTTAAATGACGCTTTTACGTCTGACGTTTTGCGCGTCAGTGTGCACACACATATTGCCGCCCTTTGTTTAGTCACGAGGCGTTAAACGTCGGCAATAATCGCGCGTGATAATCGTCCCGGTGTGCACAAGCCTTTAGACTGCTTTTTTTTGGGGCGTTAAATAATGGCGCAAATGCCAGTAATTTGACGAGCGCAAAAGTTAGTAAAACGCATTGCGTGATTCATTTGAATACTTTCCTCAAATGAATTTTGCGTCTGAAAAGGAAACTCCTACAAATGCATATTCAATAAGGTCAGGTGCAAAAATAACTGTGTCCACGCCTTTTCAGCGCTAATTCGTCACTGTGTGTGTTTTATAAAACCTGACAGTACAATTTTAACACCAAAAGACGGTTTGTGCTGGCCACAAGCTGTTAGTAAAACTGGCCCTAAGTCTTTTGGACCTTTTCGATTTGGTTTCTAGTTAACTACGTTTATTCTTTTTAACCCTAAAATGTTTTTTTTGTAAATATCTTGGCTTAAAAAAAAATCCCTAAAATTATACATCTCATTTCTTTGGCATTTAATTATTATTTAAATGTTTGGTGCCAACAGGCGTGCAGAAGCAACATAAGTGAGACACTTACTCTATTTGAGCTGTTACAGTAATTTTAGTACCTGTCTAGACAGAAAGAGTGATCTGATATATGTCTTTAATAGCCAGTGTTTTATTGTTGACATTTCTCATATCGATAAATTATATAAAACAAACTCAATAGCTCGCCAAGGCTCTCGCAGAAATTAATGTTTTCTGACGCTGATCTCATTTTCCGTTGCGTCTGTCTATCGGAGACATCCTAAATCATTTCATCTGCTTGATTTACTGTTTTTTCTTTGCGATTATGTGGAAAATGGTCTTATTTGCTCGCCTGCTTCTGACACTGTTATAGATTTCCACTGCTCTGAGTTTTAATTTATCAGAGAGAGTTACAAAACAACCACTTCAAATGCATTGAGCTTATTTGAATGTTCGCCAGCCCCTCTCGATGTTGCGCATCTCAGAGGTCTTCTGGCTCGCTTGTGGCATATTTACCAGATGGTGGGCCCTGAGAGGTGGGTGGAGTTGGCACACTGCCCCGCAGTGCCCATATCTAACCACATTTGAAAGGTTTATTTAGGGGGCGCAGTTCGAATGCGCTGGGGTCAGAGGAAACGACTCAGTCGCCAGCTGTTCCCTATCGTTTCCACGGCCTGGATACATGTGTCTGTGCAGGAGTCTGAAACACTGGGAACGATCCGAACATCTGTGGGATGATAAATCTGAAACTGTCACTGAGAATCAGTGTTTAGATGTTCCTCATCAGGATCATACTGGAAACAGAAAGATCTTCTGACTGTCCTGAGAGCCAAAGAGTTCAAGACAATTCATAGTAAATTAATGAGATCTTTGTGGAAATGGATAAATGAAAATGCTGTCACTATTTACTAAACTTTATATCTTAAAAATGAAGGTTTTAATTGGTTTTGATGGTGCCAATGAATTAACAACCATGCAGTCTACAAAATAAAGGTTATTTTTTGATGGTTCCATGAAGAACCTTTCATCTTCTGATGCATAAAATATTCTTTATAGTAGAAAAAACGGTTCTTTAGATTATATAAAATGTTCTTCACGCTAGGATGAAAAAATGGTTATTTTAAGAGCTGGTCATTGAAAATGGTTCTTCTACACTCTTCAAAAGGTTTTTTTGTTTTTGCTGCAATGCCATAGAAGACCCATTTTGGGTTCCCTAAAGAGCCTTTCAGTGAACAGTTCTTAAAAGAACTATGTCTTAGTGTGAAGAACATTTTAATCATCTAAAGAACATTTTTTCACTATAAAGAACCTTTTGTACAATAGAAAGGTTCTATGGATGTTGAAGGTTCTTTATGGAACCATCAATGCCAATAAAGAACCTTTATTTTAAAAGTGTATAGCATCGCTGTGAAAACCCTCTTTTTGAACCTTTAATTTTAACAGTAAGTAAAAACTTTCCATTGCATGCAAGGTTCTTTAGTATAAAACATTTATTTAAATTTTTAAATGTTCTTCACGAGTTCTTCAAAATATATTTATTTTAAGAACTGTTCACTGAAGGGTTCTTTAAGGAACCAAAAATGGTTCTTCTATGGGATCGCTGTGAAAACTCCCTTTTGGAACCTGTGTCTCCTATTTTTTCAGTGGAACACAAAAGGAGAATCTGAAGGATCTTGCCAAATATATGTTATATGCAACAACAGAAATCAGATTTAATAAGGATCTGTAGTTGTATGGGCTGTTATAGTACACGTTTGTTTGGTGCTTCATAGACATGTTTTTATGATGAGCTGTCATTTTATGTAAAATATGCATGCAAAATCTTCTGTTGTGTTCCATGCCAAAACTAACAACAGGGGGTTTGGAGTGACATCAGGGTGAGTAAATAATGACAGCATTTTCAGGTTTTGGGTGAACTTTCCCTTTCAGAAGATCTCTGTTGATCTTTGTTTTTCAGAAGCCTTCATGTTTTTATGTAAGCTTTGGTTATGCTGGTCACATGCTGCTCATGGGATTTTCACTGGTTTTCGTGGATCTTCTGTGACAGCTTCAGACTTCTACACCCATATTATTGGGCTGGACGCTAAAAGACAGTATTGAGTGTTTAAGGATAGTCTAGGAAGGCAATGACAACCCTAAACGAAAGAGCGTGTCTTGAAGACTGACATTAAGATCATATCTTTGTCTGCTTTCACTATCAAATGCCGCTTACATTAATATATACAGTGGTGTGAAAAAGTGTTGGCCCCCTTCCTGATTTCTTATTTTTTTGCATGTTTGTCACACTTTAATGTTTCAGATCATCAAACAAATTTAAATATTAGTCAAAGATAACACAAGTAAACACAACATGCAGTTTTTAAATTAAGGTTTTTATTATTAAGGGAAAACAAAATCCAAAACTACATGGCCCTGTGTGAAGAAGTGTTTGCCCCCCTGTTAAAACGGTGGTTTATCACACCTGAGTTCAATTTCTCTAGCCACACCCAGGCCTGATTACTGCCACACCTGTTCACAATCAAGAAATCTCTTAAATAGGACCTGCCTGACAAAGTGAAGTAGACCAAAAGATCCTCAAAAGCTAGACATCATGCCGAGATCCAAAGAAATTCAGAAACAA